GACAATAGAGTGGTGAAGGCCTGGGAGAGGCGGGTGCGGGTTGGAGGGGGTCAATGGGAAACACACAAATATTCTGGACAAGTGTAATGCTTTCAGCAATAAAGATAAATTGAAAAAGTAAATAAATAAATAAATAAATTTTGCCACTATCTCTAAACTCCTCCTACGTGAGTGTCCTGAAATTCATTTCCCGTGACACCAGAGAAGTGCCTATTTCCAAATGGTGATGGGAGAGACCCTCCCTAGTGTCAGTCCTCTTCTGGTAACAAAAGAGTTCTCACTCATTCTCACACTCATTAGAATGCAGCAGAAAGTGTTTCATTGCTGTTAATGCAGCATAGCAAAGCTTAACAGAAGTCTTGAGGTTAAAATTATGGAGGTTTGAACCCTTCGTTGCCCTCTTCCTTATTGCCTTCCTTTGAAACACACAGAGCTCTGAAGCAGAAATGAATCCTATTTCTTTTTGTCCCAACTCTTGTCTAGTGTCCTTGACACTCTAATTCTCCCAATACCTTCCTTTTTTCTTCTATGGGAACTGGGGAATCAACAAAGAAAAGGCAGAAGAGAACAGAAGGGAACCTGTACCAAGTAAGAGGCAAAATGATAAAAAAAACTTTAAACAACCTTATCTAAGTGAACAGGAACCAAATGAGAGAGAGGGTCTCCCTTCTGAGAGGGGTCACTGGCAATAATGAAGAACTTTTACTGGGTAGCATCTTTGTAGGGGCAGTTAGGATACTTCCCCGCAGTGAGATTGCAGTTAGTGAGGCTAACAGGCTTTGGGCTCTGGTGGCAATTGTTCCGGCCATTCTTGCAGACAGTCTTGGGCAGCTCACAGGCAGCAGCCACATTCTGGAAGGAGTCATGCAGAAAGGTGTTTTGAGGCTTACAGTGTTGAGTATAATTATTGACACCATGCATTGCCTTGTTGCATTGGAGAGGGCTTGGTTGTGTATGATGAATTTCAAAACACTGAGCTTTGGTGAGATTCTTAGGCCAAGCATTGTTGCTAGATTGGATGCTGCTGCATTTATGAATCACTTAATAAAGCCAACTTTACTCTGTTGAATTTTGTTTGGTAGCAGAGGGGACACCATGAATTGGAGCCTACAAGCTTCTCAAGGGCCAAAGAACTAAACAGGACAGCAGCAATAAGTACGAAAGGAGTTCCAGTGGCTGAAATGTGTATAATATATTCCTGGAACCGTAAGTGACTAGGTACGACTGCTTTTAAGAGGAAAGTAAAGTAAATGATAGCAGATGAGGCCAGAGAGGTGAGCAAATGTCAGATTATGTAGGAGATTATGTGCTGTACTAAAGAAAGTTGGTATTTCCTGTAGGATATTTTCTACTATACATGAAAAATTCCAAAATTTGAGTGGCATAGTCATGCTGTTGATCATGAAGATCACAAATGTTGCAAATTGATTTTATTTATTAGAGTTTTTGGTTGTCAGCAACTCAAAAGAATTTGAGGTAGCATAAAGGGAAAAAATGTAAACGATGGTGTGAGTAGGGTGGGGATTTATTGGAAGAATGTAGACAGATTATAATATGAAAAAAACTATAGCAGAAGAATTGGCCTTTGGAAATAGCTGAAACCCAATAAGCTTAGTTAAGCTGGCGATCAGGGCTTACTGGGCATAAATCCACTCCCTTATTTATTCTTTTTCTTTTCTTAACTCTGAATCACTATTTGAAATTCAGACTCTGAGGACAGTGTAGGGGAGAAAAAAAAATATGTTTCTTTCATCCTTCTAGGTTCTCAGCTAAAGCCTCTGTTACCAAAAGCAGATTAACAAGAGAAAAACAGACAAGTAATTAGCATGTATATCTCGTACATACATGAGAAAAACTCAAAGATGAGTAACTGAAGGAGATGGCCAGCACTTGGGCACATACAATCCTCAGCTAAAACAAAGGAAGAAGAGTGTGGGAGAGGCAAGTTATGAAAAGGTGACTGGAACCAGGCCAAGAGACATTGTGAGAGTTTAAGAAAATGTATTGCATTTTCTCATAGTGGGCTGGGATGCATGTGTTGATGTCAGCAAGCAAGAGTAGGAAGGGTGAGGGTATTTCCTGTGCAGGTCAGGGTAACCAGTCCAACCCAGTGAAGGTGGGAGGCCAGATATCCCAGGTGTACTGATTAATAATGCAAATTTTTTTCAATAAATGGAGTGACACATATATTAATATACTATTATATGCTATTTTATATTTTATATGTATGCTATTTTGTTGTATTGACAACAACCTTCAAAACTTCATATGTCAAATTTTCTGAAGATGTTAACATCATAGATATTTTTATGCTTAAAAATGTCGAATTTTGTGCCAAAAAAGGAGCATTGGCAGGAAGTTTTAATTTATTACTTTATTTTGAAGAAAAGTGCTGCTGAAAGTTATCATATACTTCGGGAAGCTTAAGGTGAACATGCTCCATCTCAAGATACTTGTGAACGCTGGTTTAGACACTTTCAAAGTGATGATTTTGATGTGAAAGACAAAGAACATCCAGGTCAACCAAAAAAGTTTGGAGACTAAGAATTACAAGCATTATTGGATGAAGATGCATGTCAAACTCAAAAACAACTTGCATAAAGATTAAATGTAGTTCAGCAAACAATTTCTGATGGTTTACAAGCAATGGGACAGATTTTAAATGAAGGAAAATGGGTGCCACATCAACTGAACAAAAGACAAATGGAAAACAGAAAAGTCATCAGTAAAATGTTGCTTTAACGTCAAGAAAGAAAGTCTTTTTTGCATTGAACTGTGACTGGCGATGAAATGTGGATTTATGTTGAGACTCCCAAATGCACAAATTCATGGGTTGATCCAAGTCAACCATCAACATGGACGGCAAGGCCAAATGCCTTCAGAAAGAAGACAATGCACGGCGTTTGGTGGATCAGGAAGGTGTGGTGTATTATGAGCTTCTAAAGCCAGGTGGAACCATTAATACTGATCACTACAGAAAAAAAATAATCAATTTGAACCACACTTTGATTGTAAAACAACCAGAATGGGCCAGAAAACACAGCAAAGTAATTTTGCTTCATGATAACGCACCATCGCACACTTCAAAACCAGTTAAAGACACTTTAAAAGATCTTGCCTGGGAAGTATTAGCCCACCCGCCGTATTCACCAGACCTTGCTCCTTCAGATTACCACTTGTTCTGATCAATGGCACATGCACTTTCTGAGCAGCACTTCAAAACATACAAAGAAGTGGAAAATTGGGTCTCTGAATGGTTTGCCTCAAAACAAGAAATGTTCTATTGGGATGGTATCCACAAATTACCTGAAAGATGTGGGAAATGTGTAGCTAGCGATGGACATGACTTTGAATAAAGCACTTTTGATGTTTCTCTTGAATTATCATGTTTTCCGCATTATTAGCCAGTATCAGTGTATCTCCTCATCTAGAACACTGGAGGTCAGTCTGAGAAGAGCCTGGAGCTCTTTGTGTCGTACATCAAAGACAGTCTTCTGGGTACACAGTAGTGGCAATGCCCAGGGAGTTGCAGCTAAAGAATAAAATTCAGCCAAGTAAGTTTGAAGATCTAATTGGCTTTATTAAGCAATTCAGGAAACAAGCAGCATCCCATCTAGCAACTAGAAAGGCTCTTTGGTGAAGTGTACAAAATGGGACGTTTTATAGGCAGAAAGAAGGTGGATTACCAATTTTTAAGAAAGTGGATTATTTTAAGCAGGACACCTTCATTCAGAGGTAGGCAGGGGGTCATATCAGGCAGATTACCTTACCAGTGCTGATCAGGAAATTCCAAATTGATTGGTTTACAATTCCACCTCTGGAAGAGGCTGAAATTTGGTTAGTTATTAAGTTTCAGTCTGGTGACTTGAATTAGCAAAAATGATTCACAATTTTACTCATGAATTTTCATGCCTATGATTTTTTGACTTTACAATAGTGTGAAAGCAATATGCATTCAGCAGAAACTGGCTGCGCTAAGCTATGATGTTCAGTAGTGTTGAAAAGAATGGTTGAAAACAGCCCAAAATGGAGTCACTTTTGGTAACCATGTGAGGTAACAGGTACATTGATTACCTTGATTGTATTGATTCTTTCAAATGTGTACTCAATCAGGTTGCACACCTTAAATATAAACAATGGATATTTCCTGTAATTCAAATATTTTCTGTTTGGTCCTTTCACGGGGGGCGGGGGGGAGCAGTCTTGGAGGGGAGGGGGCACGTGCGCACACACATACACACATACTCTCACATACATACTTCCCTTCTTAGCTGCTGGTGTCTTCATACATCTCTGTTCCCCAATTTGTTTCAAAATAATGAAAGGGGAAAGGGAGGGGTGTGAGAATTGTCTTTAGTAAATGACACAAATGTTTCTGTGTCGTGATCATTGATCCAATAGGTTTTAATCATGAACCAGTTTATGAGGGTATTAAGGTGTTGGTGCATGTTAAAAACTAGAAAAGAATTAAAAGAGCATAGAAGAAAAATCTCCACATAAATACCATAGCACCATATTTGTTAAGGGCCATTAGAATACACTTGGCTTAATTTAGGTCAGCTGGGACTCAGAGGGAGGGCAGAGCCACTCCCTGAGGGCGGGACCAGTCAAAGACTGGATGCCACTCAATCTGACTCTCCCACCCAGTGTTAAGGGGATGGATCTCATGATGTCAAAGGCCCACCCAGATGTGGTGTAACTTCCTGTAATCTGAGTATATAATAAACAGCTTTCAGCTTTCGGAGCTGGCTCTCTCTGTGTGCTCTGTCCCTCCAGAGGGCAGGCACCACACCAAGCCCAAGCTTTTAATCTATTTTATGTCTGTCTTTCATTATTCTTTAATCCTGAAAGCACCTCCTAGCTTGCTCAAACCGGTTCAAGTCTCCCCCTCTGTGCAGGACGCAGAGAGGAGACCCCAGCCCCAGCACGCCCGACATACATATTCACAGATATCTGCAGTTTGAGTTCTTTATTAAAGGGAAAACATGGACAATCTTTTAAATCAGGAAGAGTGAATGAGTCTTAATGATCTAGTACATGGTTAATACTCTAACTTACTACAGTGATTCAAAAGTTTGGGAAGAGAAAAATAAAGTTCTTTGTATCATGTCTTAGTCTTATTGATCCAAATATAACAAGGTTGCCAATTATACAGACAATTGTACAAAATGGAGTGTCATTTTGCCAGTTTATATTTCCAAATATTTAATGCTTCCCCCACCTGGTGACTTTTGTGAATATTAAAAAGATGATACTTTCAAACACTCCTTATGATGAAGTAGAAAAAGTCCGGGATTAGTAGCCAGTTGAAGTGGATTTGTTGCTTCAGCTTTTCCACTAACTTCATCATCTTCAGGAAATTCTTTAACTTTGGGCTCTATATGTAGCCACATCAGCATCACAGGGGTGTGGTGGTATTAAAATGAGATAACTGAGATGGAAGCACCTTAAAATACTTGTAATGCTATATCATATACATAGTAACTAAATTCCAGAAGATAGGATCTGAGAGAGCTAAGCTGACCAGCATTATCAAAGGAAACAGAAGAGTTTGTGGAAATTTTCCTTACAGAAAAGCCCAGTCCCATTATAGGTTTATGTCTCCATTTCTTTTTGATGTACTTAACAGAATGGATTATATAGAGAAAAGGGAGTAATAAGCAGAGGAGGCAGAGCCTGAGACAGCTCAAATGCATTAGTCATGCTATTCAAGGAGCAAGTTAAAGGTCAACCACAGGACGATACCCGCTTCAGGGTAGTATCTATCTGTCAAAGTGCACAGGCACCAGGGGGTTACCCTGACAGGCGATGACAACACGCCTAGTGCTGGCCCTGGCCCTATATCTGCAGTTGGGGGCTGGGGAACTTCCTGTATCTTTGCAGTCTGTGACTCTCACTACACCCTCATGGCAGTTCATCCTGCCATTCTTGCACCGGATATTGGGGGCGTTGCAGATGTTATTAATGGTCTCGATGTTTTCATGGATGAAAGTGTTCAATTCCTTGCAAACACCCGAAGTCATCCCCCGTCTTTGCATCATCGTGTCACAGTAGAAGTTGTTGCCACCTCTCTCTGTAGAATCCACATGTTGCCACTGGAACCTTTCATACGTGGCCTGGCCATAGGAGGGCTGCACCAGCCCCAGCCCCAGCAGGGTCAGCAGCGAGAGCAGAAGCAATGAAAGGGTCTTCTGGAGAGCCATCACTGCCTTGGAGGTGCCTGGAGAGAAACCAAGAGGTAGGAGAAAGGAAGGTAACAATTGAGCACCAGAGAGAGGAGTTGAGAATGGCAATTTGATATTTGTCAACTCGATAATCTACTCTTTCCTCCCACTTCTCTGCTCACAACTTTTCTCATCACTGCATCCCCAAGAGTAAAAAGTTTGCAAACTTGATCTTCTCTGAAAGCAAGAACTTTTCTCTTTTATAGAGAGATGGTGCTGCAACCAGTACAATGACTCAGGGCAGAGACTGACGGGCTGGATGTCCAGGTGTATGTGTCCTGTATGGTCAGGTTGTGAAAAGAGAGAAAAGGCAGATCTAAATGAAACTGGAGTTGTCTGTCTCTTAAGGAAATTTTCTAGACATGTGATCTTTGGAGAGTATTTGGTTCCCTGGAGTCTCTGATTCCCAAAGGTTTGGATAGATGGGGTATGCCAATGGGAGTTTGTAAACTGATTTTCATTCCTTACATCTTGAAATTTAAGAAAGTGTGGGAAAAGGATAGAGTAACATTTAGGTTTAGCCTTTCCTCTCGTATGCCTATTCTTTTTTTTAATTAAAAAAATTTTCAATTACAGTTGACATATACTATATTAGTTTCAGGTGTACCACATAGTGATTACACATTTATATACCTTATGAAGTGATCACCCCATAAGTCTAGCACCCATCTGACACCATACATAGTTATTACAATGCTATTGACTATATTCCCTATGCTGACTTGGCATCCCCATGGCTATTTTTAAAACTGGCTATTTGTACATTTTAATGACTTCACCTTTTTCACCTGTTGACATTCTTTTAATGGTATTAAAATCAAGGGTTTCTTTTGGAAATCTTATAAATCCTATTTTAAAAAAGTAAAGAAAACAGAGTATCCAACCAAAGTGATCTCCAGATAGTAAATTTTGGTTGAGTGAACTAGTAAACAAAAGAAGGGAACTAATGAACAAAGAAATGACATGGGTATAGGGAATGAAGGTATTTCCCAGGTTTGTGGAATTGACTGATAAAAGAAATCTACACTAATAAAAGGCAAACATGCAAATTTACTGTACCTTCGCTACAGCTACACCTTAAGCCGCGCTCACGGGCCAATCAGAGCAACTATATGCAAATTAACCCAACGAAGATGGTGGCCGGCAGCCACAGAGCTGGAGCAAGCCGGAGGCTTGGTTGTCCCAATGATGGAGGAAGCCAAGCTTCCCACTTGCCGTGTCGGGCTCTAAGCTCCACTCAAAGCAACAAAGTTTCAATTACAGAAGGTAAATAAACCCCAGATACCTGCTTTCAGCTGGCTGTGGCCACGGAGCTGGAGCAAGCAGAAGGCTTCCCTCAAACCCGCCCTGACTGGCTCTAAGCTCCTCTCAAGGCTACAAAGTTTCAATTATAGAAGGTAAATAAACCCCAGAATAAAAAAAAAAAAAGGAGAGGCTGGGAGCTTCTGTCACTGGAGGGGCTTGGCCAGCCTGCAAACACCCATCAGCCCCTCACCCAGGCTGGCCAGGCACCCCAGTGGGGACCCGGACCCTGAAGGGGGTGTAACCAGCTGCAAACAGCCATCAGCCCCTCACTCAGGCTGGCCAGGCACCCCAGTGGGGATCCCTACCCTGAAGGGGGTGTGACCAGCCTGCAAACACCCATCAGCCCCTCACCCAGGCTGTCCAGGCACCCCAGTGGGACCCCCCACCCTGATCTGGGACATCCTTCAGGGCAAACCAGCCAGCCCCCAAACATGCACCAGGCCTCTAGCCTATATAATAAAAGGGTAATATGCAAACTAACCCTAACAGCAGAATGGCTGGGAATGACTGGTCACTATGACACACACTGACCACCAAGGGCCAGATGCTCAATGCAGGAGCTGCCCCCTGGTGGTCAGTGTGCTCCCACAGGGGGAGCTCTGCTCAGCCACAAGCCAGGCTGATGGCTGCCAGTACAGTAGTGGTGGTGGGAGCCTCTCCTGCTTCCTCAGCAGTGCTAAGGATGTCCGACTGCAGCTTAGGCCTGCTCCCCACTGGCAAGTGGACATCCCCTGAGGGCTGCTGGGCTGCCAGAAGGATGTCTGACTGCCAGCTTGGGCATGATCCCCCAGGGAGTGGGCCTAAGCCAGCAGGTGGACATCCTCTGAGGGGTCTCAGACTGCAAGAGGGCATAGGCTGGGCTGAGGAGACCCCCCCCCCCCCCGCCCGCAAGTGCACAAATTTTTGTGTACCAGGCCTCTAGTCTATCTAATAAAAGAGTAATATGCAAATTAACTGTCACTCTGCAACAAAAATGGCAGTTCCCATAGCCACAAGATGGTGGTGCCCAGTCCTCTCAGCCCTGCCTTAGTCCCCAGTCTAAGGGGGAGGAGGGGCGGGTGTGCTGATAGCAGGCAGCCTGAGCAGCCTGGTGGAATGCTGCCCAGGGGCCCTCCTGACCCTTTATAAAAAAAACAAAAACAAGTTCACTCCCCACAGAGTGATCCACCACACACATACATACAGCCTCAGGGTCTCAGCCTTAGAAGCGCCTGCACCCCCACAGAGTGATCCCCTCCATGGCTTTGGGAGGTTTCAGCCTCAGAACCTTGCATGTCCCCGTGGAGTGATCCCCCCCCCCCCACACACACACACACACACCTGCAGCCTCAGGTCTCAGCTCAGAAGCACCCATGCCCCCATGGAGCTATCCCCTCCCAGCGGCAGCCTAGGAGTCTCAACCTCACAACCTTGCACGTCCCCATGGAGTGATCCCCCCAGACACACACACCTGCAGCCTCAGGGTCTAGGCCTCGGAAGTGTCCGCGCCCCCTGACAGTGATCCTGCCCCACCGGCAGCCTCAGGGAGTTAGCCTGGAAAATTCCCTCACCCCCAGCCAAGTGATTGGAGCAGAGGATGGGGGAGGAGAGGAGGAAAGAGGAGAGGGGGTATCTGGGTGACACTGCCCACCAAACCTCTCCCATTGGGCAGAAACTTGTGACCGGGTTAGGGAGGTAAATGGGTTTTGTTTAAAATCTTTACAAACCACAAAGGAAATGTCTGAGGTAGGGTTTCACCTCGGAAGTAACTTACAACTAATTTCTGAAGGCAAACTGCGACATTGCAGTTACATTACTAGAGAGTGCCCCGTGGTCCGGAGGTCAGGATCCACAGCGGTGGTGGTGGGTGCTCCCCGCCCTGGTTCCTCAGCACCTTGGGCCAGGCTTGAGCCCACCCAGAAAGGCCTTTTCCCCTATAGTTTTCACCAAGGCAGGCAGGTGTTGTAGACATGAATAAGAAGTGCCCACACACGCCGAAACCGGTTTGGCTCAGTGGATAGAGCGTCAGCCTGCAGACTGAAAGGTCCTGGGTTCGATTCCGGTCAAGGGCATGTACCTGGGTTGCGGGCATATCCCCAGTAGGAGATGTGCAGGAGGCAGCTGATCGATGTTTCTCTCTCATCGATGTTTCTAACTCTCTATCTCTCTCCCTTCCTCTCTGTAAAAAATCAATAAAATATATTTAAAAAAAAAAAAAAAGAAGAAGAAGTGCCCACACACAAGTCCTGAAGATGCCGGGGCCGGCAGAAATGACAAACGGGGAAAAGAGCAAAACAAGAAACTTCAGATGATGGTGTGTTTCCCTCTTCTTCATCTCCTGGAAGCAAGATAGATTCAAGTACTGACGATTCTACCAACAGAAAAGTTAAGAGAAAGAGAGGACAGAAAAGGAATAAAAGGAGAAAAGAAAGAAAGGACAAAATATGAAACATCAAGAAAAAAAAGAGAAGGGAAAAAGGAGGAAACAGCCA